CTCTCTCTCTCTCTCTCTCTCTCTCTCTCTCTCTCTCTCAGTGACTCAACATAAAACTGCTCCACTCTGCGGCTGGAGCTCCTCAAACTCTCTCGCCAGTCCAAGCGTGAATGTTTCTTCTTGTCAAGTCATCATGATGATACACTGAGTTGGTATATTGCGAAGTCGTATCAACCATTTTTAGTTCTGGAAAGACATTCCTTGTAGCTTACATATGCTACTTACTCATTACTTACTCACCCTCATGTCGTTCCACCTGTATATTTTTGTCACCATTTACTCTCATTGCATGTTTTCCCATATGGTGAAATGGTGACACAATGTCTACTGACTTAATACACTTCGTTTTTGTGAAAGAGAGAGTCACGCAGGGTTGAAACAACGTGAGGGTGATACCCTTTAACCCTTTTCTCAATTAATTGCTGGACAATATTTTGTAGACTTAAAGTGAAAAGGTATTTTTTCATCAATTGAATGGTGGTAACCAAACAGTTGACGGTAGCCACTGACTTCCATATAATAATAATAATAAATTCACTAGATTTTTGTGAGGGGGGATCTCCTCATCCACCACCAGTGTGCAGCATCCACCTGGATGATGCCAAGGCAGCCACAGTGCAACACCCATCCACTTATTGGTGGAGAGGAGACAGAGTGATGAAGCCAATCATTATATGGCGATGATTAGGAGGCCATGATAGTCAGAGGGCAATGGGCAAATTTGACCAGGATGCCGAGGTCACACCTCTTTTCGAAAGACATCCTGGGATTTTATAAAACTGCTCCACTCTGCGGCTGGAGCTCCTCAAACTCTCTCGACAGTCCAAGCGTGAATGTTTCTTCTTGTCAAGTCATCATGATGATACACTGAGTTGGTATATTGCGAAGTCGTATCAACCATTTTTAGTTCTGGAAAGACATTCCTTGTAGCTTACATATGCTATTGTTCACCCAAAAATGAAATGTGTCATTATTTACTTACTCACCCTCATGTCGTTCCACCTGTATATTTTTTGTCACCATTTACTCTCATTGCATGTTTTCCCATATGGTGAAATGGTGACACAATGTCTACTGACTTAATACACTTCGTTTTTGTGAAAGAGAGAGTCATGCAGGGTTGAAACAACGTGAGGGTGATACCCTTTAACCCTTTTCTCAATTAATTGCTGGACAATATTTTGTAGACTTAAAGTGAAAAGGTATTTTTTCATCAATTGAATGGTGGTAACCAAACAGTTGACGGTAGCCACTGACTTCCATATAATGAGGGGGGATCTCCTCATCCACCACCAGTGTGCAGCATCCACCTGGATGATGCCACGGCAGCCACAGTGCAACACCCATCCACTTATTGGTGGAGAGGAGACAGAGTGATGAAGCCAATCATTATATGGCGATGATTAGGAGGCCATGATAGTCAGAGGGCAATGGGCAAATGTGACCAGGATGCCGAGGTCACACCTCTTTTCGAAAGACATCCTGGGATTTTTAATTACTAAAAAATTACTATGGAAGTCAATGGTTACAGTCAACTGTTTGGTCACCAACATTCTTCAAAATATCTCCTTTTGTGTTCAACAGACAAAAGACACTCATATAGGTTTGGAACAAGTGGAGGGTGAGTAAATGATTTTTGGGTGAACCATCCCAAGCAATATTCCAATATATCTGTACATTCATTTAAACAATTGTATATTTTTTCCCTCTATATTTCTATTTCTGTATATAGCCCATTATTTATTGTTCTTATATTAGTGTTATTTCATCTTTACTGTGTAATTCTATGTCTGCACTATCATGTATGCTTGCACTATGTGTGTACTTTCTTCTGCACTGGAAGCTCCTGTGACCAAGTCAAATCCCTTGTGTGTGTAAACATACTTGGTAATAAAGCTCCTTCTGCTTCTGATTCATTCAGATAATAGAGACAACTGAATTCTCATTATATCCGCATAGTGTGTAAAAAGGATAATAGGACTACATTATAATAAGATCATAAGACTAAAGCAGTGCCAGAAGATGATGTGTCGCTGGCCAGTAATTTTACTTAGGTTATTTATTTTGAACACTAACTGGGATAACATGTTTCTTGTTTACTGTCAAGTCACTAAAACGTTGCTATAGTTATAACAAGTGTTAACCATCAGGTGTGTATACACACAAGAAACAGCAATACTTTCACTACTTTGTGTATTCAGATAGAAAAATCAGGATGCTTTATTTTATCCCAGTTCATATTTACTTAAATCATTTTGTAATTTCTGTCTCCCAAGCATGTTTTTGTTTTTTTTAGCTCTGTATTATTAAAGGATATTATAAAGTGCTGGCAAACAGATGTGTGGTTTTGGCATGTCCCTCAGATTGCAACACTGTCTGTCACTTGCTTTCTCAAGATGGCATAGTGGTTTACTGGACGCCCAAATGTAAGCATGCACGTTCCACTAGAAAGGATCGTTTCTCAGACAAATGAGCATTCAGCGGTGTTCTTATAGAAACCAGTCATCAAACACCTCAGTGCTTTCACCAGAGACTTAATACTGGGCTTTGTTGCTGCTGTTCTTATATGATCAGGACAAATGTGTGAGATTCCAGAACAATGAATGCCGTCTGTTTTTAGCATTGATTAAACACAGTATATTCAACTGCTTAGATGCAATTGAATCAATTTCCAAAGTATGAAATCATATTTGTCCTGTATTCTTACATATATTCCAAAGACCTCCTATTATAACCAAGTTCCTAGATTATATATATTTTTGCAGTACATTGCAATAAATAATGGAAAGAACTCATTTGAGGACACTGGTGGTGGTAAACAGCAAGTATTTAATTGAAATTAAATTAAAAAGTATAAGTACCATATCTATTGCGTCATAATAACAGGTATAGGGGTTATTTATGGGGGAGGGGTTCTTGTAATTGGTTTTCAACACAAATATACAATGAACATTCAGCTACCACAGTTTTGCACACTAGATACTGTAGTAATGCAGTCTATCACAAGACCACCAAACAGGGACAATCCGAGTGTATCTCATCTGTTCTGGGATCAGTCCTCAACATCCATACATAAGAGTATAAAAGTCAACCCAGAGTTGTGGGACACTCTATATATCCACCTAAAACTGTACACAAAACCTTCAGGGTCGACTCGTTAGATAATGCCATAAAAATGAGCCAAAGAAAGAGAAAACAAATAAAACAATGCCAAAACATGTACAATACACTGACACAGAAAGTCAGCTGTGTTAGACATGCAACAAGTAACAAAACTTGCTGAAGAAAAAAATAAAATAAAAATCATAATCATAAAAAAGAAAGCCTTATAACTGCATAAATACTTCGTACAGTCTCACATCTCACTGTAAAGTAATGCACCCTTTCAAAAAGTATAGCGCACAACATAAAAATGCATCTGATAAAACAGTGATTACTCCATTTCTTTGTCTTGTCTACATGTCAATGTGCAAAAAGAATTTCAGATTGATATAGCCATTTGATCTTTGAGCTGCTTGTCGACAGCAAAATCCCAACAGCTTTGCGATGTTATGATTGCACACTGAATTACAGTACATTAATATAGAATAATTCAACTATAACGAGTGCATATTAGGCTGTACGGAAATCATACAACAGTGAATAAAACAACTGCAATGGTAACACATTTTTCATCTTTTTAAAGTTGTGTCAGACCATTTAAAGAAAGAAAGAAATTCTCTCTATTAATCAAAGCAGCATTTTTAATAGGATATTGCCCACCGTATCAAAAAAAAAAAAAAAAAAAAAAAAAAAAAAAAAAGAGATGAAAAACTTTTTTTTTCATAGTTTTGTCTAAGGTAAAGAGAAACTAGGCTTCCAGTCCATTAAAAGTGTTAAATCCCTTTTTCTTTACACACAATAACGTTCAAGCTAGTCTTTTGTGAAATGTGTGAAAACATCACTAACTATTGCTTTCATAATCTACAGACATTTACACTGGTGCAACATCGCAAATGGTTAAAAATGGTGAGGTTTAAAGAATAAGAAATGTATGCAAACATTTTTAAAGCTAGTGTCAGAGTAACATTTAAGTTGTTTAATTCATATGAGCTAATAACAAACGAAGCATCAAATTAAGGACAGTCAGAGAAGTCCCACACTAATGCAAAATGTACAGATTCAAAACATCCAATATAAACTAAGCAGGAACTCTGACACTTCAGAAACATGTTTCATAATACAGTCTTTCAATTGACTTGAAACATTTCTGTCTTTGAAGCGCATAATAGAAATTTGGTGGAATCGTTTAAAGGTTGAATGGATCCTGTCATTTAAAAAAGATTTAAAGTGGTCTTTAATCTAAATTCAACATTTACATGCTTTCATTGACCTACACGACTGTTAAAATATATGATAGTAGTTACATATCAAGGCAGGTTGGCAACAAAATTTAAAACGGAAAAAGTCGTCTATGGCAACTGGCTGATGCTGTGGGCAACACTTCAACAGAACATATAAAATAAACATCATAATTAAGCATTTGCATAACTAGACAAGCTAGTAACGTCAATCCACAAACATTTATCAACATTCATAGTCCCCAATATTATTCCCGCTGGGAGGTTGTGACTTGTGACATCGACTACACACACGCACTCGCATTTTTGTTCTTTTAAAGCCAGGAGTGATTTTTAACATACTGTAATACTATATTACAAGCAATGTGTCGTGTTTTGATTTCTTCTTTTATCTCTTAATAATGACTTTTTGTTTTTACTGTTTCTAGTTAAAAATGCCATTGTAAGTATTTACAATATAAACAAATGTCATCTCGTTTCATCAGGAAGCGTTTTATATGCATTGCTTTGTCTAAAATCTAAACGTAACGCAGACTTTGTGGATGATGCCAATGAGATGACAGACCATACTGCAAAAGAAAACGCATGAATGGAAAAGTAAACTAACAATCGTCTCTTTTTAATGGTCACACTTCTGCGATATATGAAATTATGAGCATTAGTGATCCCATTTTGGTCTACGTCAGTGCTTTAACCAATGAGATTTTGCGCGGGGAGCAGCGAAATGGGGTTTTTGAGGGTGGTTGGTGGTGTGGCTTTTGGGCATGTGATGTGGGGTGAGTGTGATCTAGTTTTTCGGGCTTTCCTCAGAGCCCCGCTCATGCTGCAGGTTGTAGTAACAGTTCTGACACACACGCACAGGAGAGGAGATTTTCAGCCGCTTGATCTCTGACTGGAAGCGACTACACCTGAGGGAACAAGCAACAAATTGTAAAACACAAGAAGCAACCTAAAATGCATTTAGTTCATACATAATAAATATTACTGCAAATCTGTCTTACTTCTGGCAGAAGACCTGGCCACAGTTTCTGCAGTGGTGGCGCCTTTCAGTGAGGGAGAAACGCACAGCGCATCCAGAGCAGCTGTCCACCTGCTCGTCCTTCACCCAGTGGTCTGCGGTTGAGCGTCCGGGCTGATCACTGACAGACCAACTGAACACGCGGCCACGGCTGTCGCCTACCAGGATCTTACTGTGGTCTCTGAGTACACAAGAACAGCTTGTTATCAACCGTCTTGTTTAGAGACAATTTATTTGATATCCTCTGAGCAAACACTGGCATATTAATGTTAAACCACATTAGAAACAGAATAGAAGCCAGCTTGTCTTTTGTCCTCACTCCACCACGAACACTGAGCACCTACTTTGAAATGGCAAGTGAGGTGATTTCCGCAGGATGAGCGTTGTCCTTGCGGTCAAACGCTGTGTGCATGGTGAGTTTGCTCCGGAACACCAGCTGTCTCTCCCATCTGTAGCCTGTTTAAGAGACAAAGCTAACGGTGAAGAACATGCCAGTTGCTCACATTAAAAACAGTATCACAGGAATCTTCCAACACAAGAGAACAGCACCTGAATGACAATGCAAATGCAAAACGTAAAAGAAAATTAGAATTTCGAATATTCATCGAATTTAAAATAAAAATCCACATTCGAATGCAAAAACGTTGCATTCGAATTTTAGGTGTGCATTAAGGAGGCAGCCTTATAAGTGGCGCATGAGATGCGATGACGATGTATGTGTCGCTGCAATCTTCATTGTAATGTTTTTGTTAGCCTATCAAGTTGAAGCCACTAGATGCGGCGCTGCTGCTTTGTTCATTAAAAATATTGCGGAAAAAGAGAACATCAATGCGGAGAAGATCTTGTTTATGTCAAAACTGTTCACACAGAACGCATATTTCACGCATTATCTAGAGGGACATCTATCAGCGTTGCACTCGCATCTCGCACAAAGGAGCCGCATGTTTAGAAAGCCATGTAAAATTAATGCAAGTTTAACTTTGAAAAAAAGTTAAAGAAAAAAGACTTTATGGCTGTTTTTTCCCCATCCCACAGCATCTCATTTTTAAATGAGAAATGTACTGTGTGATTGGCTTTCCGCCCTTTGTATTAAACTATGCATACATACATGATGCTGTTTTGTTTATAGTTAAGCAACTTAATTATAATTGGTTTATAAACATTATTTTAAACATTATGCACTTTTTTCACAGATAGTCGTGTTATCTTATGCTTTGAATAAACGTGCATTTAGAGGCGCCCTCTTGTGGCCTCAGAAGCCAAAAGCTTTTTTCACCCTAACTGAAATTATGCATTTTAAATTAGAATATAATTCGAATTTTGATCACATTTAAGTACAAAATTCGAATTTAGTTTTTCAACCATTTTGACAGCCCTAAAAGCCATACTTCTGAAATCTATTAATTAAAACTACAGCACATTTTGACAAAATAAAATTCAATTCATTCATTTAAGGATTTACCGCTCTCGCTTTGGTTTGCATCATAACTTTTCATGTAAACTGTCAGTTATAATATGTAATGTAAATGTATTAAATTAGAATGAAATAAATTAAATTAAGAACATTTAATTGATAAATTAGTCAATTTAATTGATCATTTCAATGATCAATTAAATTAGTAAATGTATGAAAATTATCAAAATGTTTATTATTTAGCTTATTTAATACCTTAATAATATTTTCCTATCATCTTTATCAATTCATGTAATGAAATTAGATTTATTTTGGCAGTTTTGCTTTTACTGAGACGTGACGGAACAGAATCAGACAGGAAGTGAAGTGGGAGAGAGAGGGAAACGGGATTTGGAAAGATCCCTGTGCCAGGAATCGGACTCAGGTTGCCTGAAGCACAACCGACAAAATTTTTTTTCAAATAGATAAATTAAACTAAATCAGCAAATCTACTAGAATAGAATTTGATTAAATTAGAATTAATTGCATACATAAATAAATAGCAATATTAAAAAAAACACTAAAATGTCACGGCAGGTTTTAATCTACTGCACCTGGTTTGAGCTTGTTGTACGACCGAGCCTCCATAGTACTGGGCTGAAGAGGCTGTGGTACTGGCCCATGTGAGGGTGCTGAGTGCGGTTGTAAATGTGGCTGCGAGGGAATTCCCGGTCTAATCTGGCCCTCTGAGTAGTTTACAAAAACAAAGCCTTCCTTCTCGTCAATACTGAGTGTGTCCGACCAGCGGCGGGAGTCGTCAGAGCCACTGTCCACCGACCAGGAGGCTCCGGTGCGAGGTTTGGGTCTGTGGACGGTACTACTGGGCTGGCTGTTTGAGGTCCGAGGTTTAGAGTCCTGACTGAGGTTGGCTTCCTCTCCTTCAGACTCACTGCTGTCATCCTCTGGAGCATCACGGCCCTCTGGAAGAACAAGACTTGAGGTTATTTAATCTGAAAAGATCATCTAAAATTGCTGTAATGCAAAGTGCAGGCTAAAATTGTTTAATATCAAATTGATCAAAATATTATTTATCATTTAGTTTATTTAATACTTTCACATCATCTTTTCAATACTACAGCACGAAAGACATGAAAAGGGTGCAATGGAGGGATGTTTTACCAATCTCTCCACAGCAGTCTGGCACATCGGGGGGCTCTACAGGCTCTGGAGCAGGGGTTTCTGGGACTTGGAGGAACTCAATTCTCCAGAACTACAAGATAAAGCCATTTGTCAAGAACCGTTATCACTTTAAAAGACAAAGAAAGAAAGCAAATTAAGGAAAAGACCATTACCCTGACAACACCGTCGGAGTGTCCCGTAACGATAACATTCTGTGTGTCCCACTCATTCATCTCTGAGATGCAGCAGCAGAGGATTTGTTGGCTGCGGCCGGTGAAAGTGTTGGCGCTGGCAATGGGGCTTCCATTGATGCTCCACACATGGATGTAAGTGCCAGCACAGGACACTATATCACCCTACACAAAGACACTCAGAGTTATGAGAGTCTTTTCCAATTCATAGAACACTTCGGTTTTATTCGGAAGCATCAATTTATTATGAGGGTTCATAAAAAGCAAGAAATTAAATCAGGAAGCTCTTTTTTCCAAAGTAGTGATGGTCTCACTTTTTAATTAGAAATTAATTCCTTTTCAGGAATTTTTCAAAGGCAAGCACATTTTTAAACAGTAAAGTGTGCTACTGTTTCTTGGTGACCTTGATGACCAGATCAAATTTCCAGAAAATTACCAGAAAAATTTCATACCAAAAAAGTTTGAGTTGGCAAACATTTTAATTCTGCTTAAGCCAATAATAATAATAATAACCTATTATATTTTCATAAGTATTAAAATATATTAGAATTTATTATAAAATAATTTTCCCCATAGTTTTCTGTGAGTAATGATAATAATAATTAACAATAATAGTACCAACAATAAATTATTTTTATACATATTATCATTTGCAGTGTGTATATATATATATATATATATATATATATATATACACACACACACATATATATATATATATATATATAATTTTTTTATGATCATTAGAATTCTAATTTATTTAAAAAATATTTTATTACCCCAATAAAACATACAAATGCAAAGACCATACAATGCAAAGAGTGCTTATTAAAACCCCTTAACTGTCACTCACATTTTTGAACATAGATGTGAATGTGCATGATCCAAACTTACATTTTTATAATTCATGAACAAAAACATTTTGTAACATGATATTGATGTACCATTTTCATGGTAAAGCAATGCTTGATTTTAAAATGGGTTTCAAAGGATGAATTTTGAGATTTAAAGTTTTCAATTGATATATAATTTCTGATGATTTCTAAAGTGTGACAGAGAAAAAGGCAACGAAGAAGACTTTTTATGACAAAGCTCAGAACTCCTGTTATGATGTAGATTTTTGAGGTGCACTCTTGTCATAAATTAATCTATTACTTTTCCTACATAGATATTTTACCAATGTTTTTGTAAAAAAATATTTAGGAGTCTTGGACCTTTCCAACGATATATAGTTTGTCATGATCAGATTAGGATTTAATTGTAATATAGTGAAGTAAACTTAGGCATCCCACAGACGGGACGGGTGTCAGCTAAAGGGTTAAATGACTAAAAGGAAAATTTGATGTAGTTTAAACACAACACTCAGGTAATTCTGACATTATTGTGGGCTCACAGTAAGTTCGTTGATGCAGAGTGCGGAGACGGGAGCCCGGTGGCCCCTCAGCTGGGTGACGAAAGACAGCTTATTCAGGTCCCAAATGATGCACGTACGGTCTCGAGAGCCACTCACAATGATGTGGTAAGCTGATGACGCTGTGAGACATGTAACTGCATCTGTGTGGCCCAGAAGAGCCTGGAACCATGAAAATACATATGTTGATCAATGCATAAAACATTACAATTAAATTAAATTCGGTTATAAAGAACAAGCAGGTTTAGCAAAAAGTCTAAAGCAAAACGTAAATAGATTTATTGGGTTTAAAAAGCAAATGAAGTAAAAAAAAATTAAAATAAAAAAAATCAAGCAAGCAAGCAACATTAAAACAAATATAAAACAAACCTGTTTGAGTGTGATGGTCTTGGCTTTCTCTTTGGAAGTCCCGGTCTCCCACACACAGATAGCGGTGCTTAATCCACCAGTGATAACCAGTTTGGGATTGGGGCAGATAGCACACAGGATCTGCCCCCACTCAGACAGGCACTCATATACTACAACCGCCTATGAGACAAACAACATATGAACATCAGACAACTGATATGGAAAACTAAATACACAGAATAAACCAAAAACACAAGATTAAACTTTGTTGTGTCTTAATTAGCTCCTAAACCATTCCCCCTCCCCCCACACCCCATACACTCCAGCTTGTGGGAACTACTACAAAAATCATTTTAGAAGGTGGAAATAAGAAAATAAAAGAGAAAAAAACTGCAGAAACATTTCAAGGTTTACGCATTTGAGGATCTGATAGCCGTTCACAGCAGATGCTGAAAACATGAGTAAACAGAAGAACTTGTATGTTGCGAATGACCTTGTCAGACTCATAGTTGGAGAGGCGGCAGCTGAGGTCTGCATAGCCCCAGGCGAAGGTTTTATTCCAGGCAGGAGGAACCAACACCTTGTTCTGCTCAACAGCCAGAATGCCTTTGTCAGTGCACACTATCTGACCCACTGGCTCCTTCAGCTCTGTAAAACACAAATGACACACACAGAGCTTGTTAAAATGCTCTCCACTGTATGCCCAGAGCCGCTATTAAAATTTCACACAAATTATTCCTGAACAAACAAGTTCTAACAAATATATTGTTGATATTGAATTGTTAGTATTTATGTATTTTAAAACAAAAAAATGTATATGACAGAACTAGTAGAAGCCAACAAAAAAGGAATGCCACTGTAAACCTCTCTCTAATCTGCATTACCTTTGACAGGGGTGAGAGAGGGCCGCAAGTTGTCCAGGTGATGGAAGAAGAACTTGTCTAAGCTGGAGTTGAGTGTAACAGGTACACCAGGTACCTCTCCGTTTGACTTACTGCGCACCCGCTTTGGAGGATGGGGCTTCTTGAACAGCTAAAAGAAACGAAACAAAGAGGTTAAACTGGATACCGAGCAAAACACACACTAGAGTGTACTGCACAGTGGTCCCAAAAGGGATTTGGACACCTAGGTAACACAATTTAATTACATTAAATACAAACAACAAAACAAATGGCATCAGCAAAAAAAAATGAGGCTAGAGCTTTTTCAGAACTGACTTTCCTTTCAATGACTTTTAACAAGCTGGTGTCAAGGAGATTTTTAGTAGAAATATGAAGTCAGTTCTTCTCAAGTATGCACAGGTAACCACTGATGTAGTTCATTTTCAATAATGAAATTGCAAACCTGTTTTGGGATCTGGCCAAAGTTGTTGATGAATCCAATGGTAGCTGTTTCTTTAAGTGGGTCATTAATGTTGTAGATGTCCACCTGACCCTCATAGAAGAGATGGTGGAAGACATTGACTGCTTCCACCGCTGGAGGACCCTGCTGCTTGTATCCAAATATTAGGTCGATCCATTCATGCAGATGGGCGCTGACATAGTCACACTCCAAAGCCTGAAAAAAAACACACACAGTCCCTAAAGGTTATGAACCTGTTTCTGAAAGTGGCCTTATTCTCTGACATTTACGACAATGAAGCGATAACACACAGAGCTTCTGGCTTCATCAGGAGATGATGTATTTTGATGCCAATTACCTCTCTGTGAACCCTGATGAACTCTCTCGGGTCTCCTTTTGCCCACGGAGGCAGAATCACATCTCCAAGCTTGGTGCCATTCTGTTTACTCCCTTTAGAAAAGATTGATCAAATAACACACTCATGTAAAAAATAAAAATAAAAATAAAAAAAGAGAGAGAGAGAGAGAGAGAGAGAAACTGTATTTAGGGTACAGATGAGGCTAGCTGTCAAGCTTTTCCTTACCAAGATCGAAGTTGTTGGAATTAAGTAGGAACTCGGGAAGGTAGAAAAATTCAGGAATGAGTTCCTTCACATCAGCCATGTTGTGTTTGGAAGCAGAGAGCCAACCCTCTCGTACACTGTGAAACATTCGGTCGGCTAGATCAAAATGTCCTCCCTGAAAACAGATGAAACTCACATGTAACCACCAACTTCAATCTCTCTTGAAACTAGATCAGCTGTTCACACTAGGGACGATAACAATAATTCTAAAGTTTTAATAATTGTTCTAATTAATAAAGGCACAGAGGAACTAAACCATTTTTTTCAGATGATAAACACTAACAACATTGACAGCCCATCAGGACACATGATTTTAAAGAGCTTGAGTATTTAAAGCAGCAGGCAGCATGCACTTATAATAAACAGAACATTGTTGTGGACACTAATGTAGTTGCATCAATCGTTTTTGGTGTGAACGGGCCTTCACTGTTCGTTAATAACAACATCCTATCAGAAACAAAGGAATATCTTTATTAATGCTTGGAAACACTGTAAATATCTGTGCGAGTATGAAAGATGCTATGCTTAATGCTGAGACAGCTGGTCTCCAGTCTGCTCTTCCACTTTTGTTTGTTTTTGGTTTCGACTGTGAAGGATTTATTTAGTAACATTCATTAGTAAAATCTATTCCCACCAGCATAACAATGGGTGTCGAAGAATAAAAGAACAATGATAAGACTGCCCAGTTCAAGACTATCCAATCTAGCCACATGAAAGTTTGTCCAGGTTCAAAGTTTAAAGAAAAACTTTAAACAACAATAACTAAAACACAGAGTAAAGAGAAGAAAGCAACAAATGTTGAACAGACCAGGCCATGTGGGACTAACCTGAAGCCTGAGAAAGATCTGTGTGAACGGCTCCATTCTGACCAGATATGAGGCCACGATCATTGCAGAGGAATAATGAGTGCCGTAATGATACGCTGGAGTCTCGCCTGTGAAGAAACAAAAAAACATGTTTCAAAAGTTGGAGCTTAACAAGCATAACTAACAGATGATCAACAGGGGTCTCGGACTCACCAGTAGGATCCTCCCAGTCTTTGAATCTTTTCTTGTACTGGATCAGTCTATCGTCTGTCTGAGCTCCCATGGGTTTGGATAAGTTTCGGAATGTCTTTGGATTGTTGAGGTCCAGTTCCTGTGGAACAATTCAAGACATTTCACTTGGAAAACTTAAGCTCAGATTGCAAAAGAAAAAACATCCAAATCCCCCAAACAAAATGTAAATGTGCAGACACAGGGCTCCAGACTGCGACCATTTTTTCTGCCTGTGCAACTAAATTTTGTGTGCGGTCGCACTGGCGCGACCACCACGTTGGTCAACTCATAAGCGCTGCAATTTCTGTTGCATATGAGAAACATCAAACGGCAAACGAAACTGAAAGCATAACGAAATAGCGCTTTTAGAGAGTATACTCGCCGTGTTAGCACGAGCATGAAGGTGTGCGCAGCAAAAATTACGTGCATATTGAGGAAACGATGGATGGTTTTCAAGCGAAAGTCAAGTAAAAGGCCGCTTCTTAAACCAGAGAAGGTGAACATGCTGGTATTCTAGTGGGGGGGAAAAACATGCAAGCAGTGTCACCAAAACAGTGACAACAAGATCGCGAATTCGAAAGTGAAAGCATCCGAATCCCGCGGCTTAACACAGCACAAGAGAAACTCCCATTCACAAAATTCAAATCACAGATAATACTACTGATGATAAAGAACGGGTTGAATGTTAACCACTTTCGTTTCCATATAACTATAAACTATGATAAAAGTTAATCAGCATGCATTGAATAATCCCATGTTGTAGCACAAAAAAATAAATAAATATTGCGACCAAATCATGTGCTCGTGCGACCAGCTGAGAAAGTTAGTTGCAAAAGAGCGACAAAGTGGGAAGGAGGAGTCTGGAGCCCTGGGACATCTGCTGTGCTGTAGTACTTGTCACAAGGAATGATCAAAGACAGGTTTGTACCTCAGAGTCAAAGTCTGCCAGGATCCATGGAAAGACAGGATACTGCATCAGGTCATTATATGACCTGCCAGCCAGTGTGTTGAGATGCATCAGATATTGGAAATTACTGATTTCTCCTCTCTACAAATAAAGAGTCTTTCCTAAGCAACACTGAACAACAGAACAAAACAAACAGACAAAAACTTTAAATGTGAAGATACCGCACCTCCCATCTTTGGGTCACTGACTTCTCGCCGACCAGCGTACTGAGAAGACCCGACCTGTTTACCAAGAAACACGAATGTGAACGTTTATTTTAATACATTTGGTAAAGAAACTCTAAATTCACTTCACAATCTTGTAATATGAGGGTAGCATACCCTTGTTCCACACTGGTGTTGGGACGTTGCCCAGAGACAGATTCGGAGCTGTCGGCTAGTGAGGGAACAACTGCCAGGAACCTAGAAAACAAGATTTGGCTTTATGTAAACTAGTATTTTTCTGAGGTTCTTCTACACTTAAATCACTGTAAAAAAGATAATGGAGGCAGAACAGTCAGACTATTGAAAGTTTTGCTGAAATACACTTACATTCGAAAAGTTTGGGGTCAGTATGACTGATTGATTTTTGATTGATTGAAGGAATACGTTTCAGCAAGAATACATTAAAGGGATAGTTCACCCAAAAGTGAAAATTCTGTCATCATTTACTCTCCCTCATGTCATTCTAAACCTGTATGAGTTTCTTCCTTCTGTTGAACACAAAATAAGAAAATATGACGAATCTGTTGTGCTCAACAGTAGAAAGAAACTCATGCAATACAATACAAATTTTATTTCTATAACACATTTAAAACAACTGCCGTGGACCAAAGTGCTTTCCAGCATCATTACATACCATCACACGAACAAAAATTAAAATGAAAAATTAAATCCTGATCACTAATCAATTTTAAAAGCTATACTAAAAAGATACGATTTCAATCTAGACTTAAAAGCATCCACAGATGGGGAAGATTTAATGTGCGTTGGAGAGAGATGCAGGTTTAGAAAGACATGAGGGAGAGTAAATAACAAAATGTTTGTTTTTGGGTGAACCATCCCTTTAAGTTGATCAAAAGTGACAGTAAATACATTTATAATGTTACAAAAGATGTTTAGTTATTAAATGTTGCTCTTTAGAACTTTCTATTCATCAAAGAGTGTTCACTGAAAAAGTGTTCACTGTTTTCATCAGTGATAATGTTTCTTGAGCTTGATTAGAATCTCAGCATATTAGAATGATTTCTGAAGAATCACGTGACACTGAAAACTGAAGTAAGCTTTGCATCACAGGAATAAATTACATTAAAAGTATATTAAAACTGGAAAAAAAAGTTGTTTTAAATTGTACAAATATTTCACAGTGTTACAGTTTTTACAGTATTTTAATAAAATGTAGCCTCAATAAGCATGTGACGTTTTTCAAAAAGAATAAACATTTTTTTAAAAATCATAGCGACCCCAAACTTTTGAATGGTAGCGCATCTCTTTCTTTTTCTACATCATGTCTCAAAGGGACAAAAACACAATCAAACACATATACTGGGTAAAATCACTCCATGAGCTGCATCTTAATGCAGTCTATTACAGTCGTGTATGAATATGTGGTACACCTGCTCTAATATTGTCAAATTTCACAATGATTTGCTGCCAAAATGGGGAGCTGCAGTGTATGACAGAATCTGAGAGAAATGTCAGAGGAAGTCATTTAGTTTGTCGACCCTTTCCATTCTTAATTTCTGAGTGTGACAACATCTGACAGAAGAGGGCAAGATTTCATCTAAATTTGTCAGAAAGTGTGGGATTTAAACCCAAAATAGAGCTGTTTTGAGCTGACTAGTGGAATGCCGCCTTAAGAGGCATTAGGGTTGTGCCACTAGATGATAGTATCGTGTATCGATGATAGTTAGAGATATCGCCTGTGGCTGATGCCTTCGACGATATCAAGACGATAATAATACTAATTATTATTATTATCATTATTATTATCAGGATAGTATTATTATCTAATTAATATTAGGGCTTATTTGTCCCATCATATTTATTTTTCCACGTTGTTGCAGTGTTGCGCGTTATAACCAGTCACACACGATTCTGTTGAGCTTATAAAGGCAAAGGCCAATCAGAAGCGTTCAGATGAGTCATCGCTGAAACACTGAGTTTTGTTGTTCAGTGCTCGCGCTCGCCGACTGAATTCTGCTCTCTCGCAGATTCCCACATCAAAAACAAAAAAATGCTGATGTACGTGCGATGTAGGTATAAGAGATATAGTATAGCTTGACTGATTATAATGGGAGTGGGGTTTTTTTTAAAGTGCATTAACTCGCGCTAGACTGAAGTCAGTGATGATGGTCTTTGATGATGTAAATGTTCTTTGCTCATTTTCTGTAGCTGCTGTTTGAATAACTGAGGAAATGTAAGCATTATAATTAGTAACTTACAATGTTTTTATTAAATTGTTATGTTACATACAAATTCAGTAATATTAAAAAATCTTTTATGACATCTATATGCAACTTGACTGGAAAAATATTATATGTAGTTGATGCATTACACAAACATTAGGTTGATTTTAGGCTTATCCTGGAGTTGGTTATGAAACTATGAAACTAAGCAAGTAAATTATTAAATAAACTAGCATGACAATATTATGTATCGGTGATCTCACAGGCTGATGATAGGACGATATGACTATGAAGCATATTGCCCAACACCAAGAGGCATCAGTGTTTACAACACCTTTGATACACTTTGTTCCGGACTCCTTTTTGGAAAGCCAACAGATAATTTCTTCCATCTCCGGAAAACACTTCTACTGCCATGGGCTGTGAGGAAGAAAGCAAAGCATAGCTTCATTATCAGCATTAACATGAAAGCTGACCAGTGTGTTATCAAGCCAAACGGGTTGTTTGCACACCTGAAGCAGATAGCGACGTTTGTGCACCTCTCTGATGTCTTCGTAAGCAAAGATGCTGCAGGTTCGTTTCAGCTGACTCTTGCTCTGCCGGGCCCCTCGGGGGATGATAGGCTCATGCATACTGCAAATGTCACAAAAACAAGCAGTATATATAAATGCAGTGCAACAACTAAAGCAGTGGTTCTCAACCTGGGGGGCCTCAGCAAAGTTCCACAGAATGACTTAATATATTTATGATAATTAATATATTAAAATAATCTAAAATAACCACAGAATAGAATCACACAATGAACTGTAGGTTAATGTAAAATATCAATGCTTCCGGTTTATTTTAATAAAAAAAGTTGTAACAGAAGCAGCTGTGTTATAATTATAACAGAAATAGAAAAACAGAAAGAACAATGGAATGACAGATAATTAAAACAACAGAAAGATCGATAAAATGAACGATAGAACAATAGAACGATAGACAGATCAAACAAAGAAACGGTAGAAAGACAGACCACTATAATGATAGGTAGAACGTATGACTGATAAATAGATGGAGAACAATAGAATAACAGAACAAACAACAGAGACCGACAGACAGACAGATACCAGATGATCTGATACAAGTGAGCATTTTTCATTTTTTGAAGAGCAGAATACAAAACAATACATTCTTACTTTGCAGGGAGTGTCTCAATGTCTCTAATCTCTCTGGTGACCGTCATGGTGAAGCCGTCGATCACATAGAAATGTTCTTTCCCAAATAAGAGCAGCCCTTCACTGGTGTCCAGACCCTGAACTCGAGCACAGCGGTACATGTGCTGGATCTATAACACACACAGCAAACACATTCTCAGTACATCATTCATATCAATCAGTGCAAATTCAAAACGTAAAACAAACCTAATCGTCCAACCAGACTGATATTACTAATTATTTCCCTCATACTGATGGAGAATAATGTAAGCAGTAAATTAATGACTGTTATTAGATGATGATCTAATGATCAATACAAAGCGTCAAATTGGAAAGCTTCTACCAAAAAGACCCAAATTTTCAAAGCCGAATTGTTGTCATGACAACAGTGACTGGCGGCAAAATTTGCAGTTGTTGAACAGTGTGACGAGGATGTTGTGGAGGCAGATGTATAGCTGTACAGTGCTACAGACCTTCTCCCCCTCCTCCAGCAGGCGGAGCAGTGTGGTGTTGTCAGTTTTCTGCTCCTCGTCCATAGCTCCTGGCTCCAGCAACTCCTGCAGCTGGTCTTGACTGTCCTCATCGGCTCCATCCGCTGTAGACCGGGACCGCTTTAAAGGAGCTTTAACCAAACCTAAAACAAAACACAGCACACTCAGTCAATCTATACAATACACTCATTATATTACATGCTCAGTAGTTTTGATAGATAGACAATGAGATCCTTCAGATCCCAGTTTCTTCCATTTAGTTTGAAGAGGTGATAGAATTTCTAGTTACAAGTAATTAATAATTGTATTAATAGTGGTACTTGTTTTCTGTCTGCTACATTGGTGAGCAAAATGTAGTATGTGTAACTCTAAAGCTCACTGTACAAAGTATACTTCTGTAGTAGTTTCACAGTATCATGTAATAAACAGCACTGTCATGTTAAAATGACCTTTGACCCTTGCGATGGTGTCCTCTCCATGTTCAGGCTCCTGCTGTGTGGTCTCTCCCTCCGTGTTCTGCTCTATGGAGTGCTGGTACATCCCCGGGTTCCCTGACAGCAGCCGCATGTAATACTCCTTACTGTCATAGCTTATCGCTCGTCTGTAGCGCACTGGTTTCTGGAAAGATTGAAATGTATTGCAAACTCTTTAATTTAGTTCTTATTAACTCTTCTTTTGGATTTATATCAATCATGATGAAAAACTTTTTAATAAAAAATTCAATCGCGGGAGTCAGTGACAGCCAGAAGAATCCAGTCAGAGGCATGCAAGACACATGTCCATCACTCTTTAAGAAAATCCCATGCTGACAACTCGCATATAGTACATAATTCATATCGAAACACAATTTATATTTACCCACAAAGCAAATTTCAAGCGTTTAAACACCTTTAGATCAGCAAGTTTTCAAGATCACACATGAATTCAGTCAGAACTAGGGCTGTCACGGTGAAGGAATTTCCCTTGCGGTAATTTTGAGTGGCTAAATAGCGCGGTATGCGGTATTATCGCCATATATATATATATATATATATATAAAATCTGTGTGTGTATGTTACGATACAACGAGTTCATATTCAGAAACCAATGAAACCGAAACCGAAACCAAATAGCGTTGAAACAGGAAGTGAAGTAAACAGAAGAGAATGACAAAATAACGATCCACATAACAGAACATAAACCTGACAATAAGATTGTTAGGCTATTGTTAGCCTATATGTATAACAGTTTGTTCTGATCCTCGAATCCGACTGGACAAGAGACTTTCTACTGATATTTCCACCTGCGCGCGTTCTAGACGGGCTGTAAGTCAGTGCAGTTACAGTGTTGCGCCACAAGGTGGTGGAAAGGGACCGTCTTTGAGTGAGTCTTTAAACCGTTCATTCAACTACACGTTCAAAAACGCTGATTCATTCAAAGAGAGACAAAATGAAAACGCTATTGAAATCATTTTAACTTTGAGCGCCACGTTAGAAGGCTCAGCTGACCAACGCGTCGATGCTAAGACAGAGATTTGGCTTTCCTTGGACATGACTACCCATTTTCACAAACATATATGACTCGCAAGTAATCGCACATGGTCAGTTGATCTCTCTCTCATTCGTTGTTCTGTTTAGGCTTGTTAAGTGCAAATCTATGGAGTCTCAGAACAAATCAGCATGGTACACATTATGTTATCATTACTAACTTATTTAATATTCAGTACACAGTGTAAAACGAGAAGGGCAAAACCCTATGAAAAAAGAAAACACGCAAAAATCGCGGTTGCTGCGGTTCTTGCATTCCTCTGCGGTTTGCTCGTCAATACGCGGTATTGCGATATTGCGGTTATCGCGATAGCCCTAACTGGAACTGTATGCAAATTCAAAATATTGATTTTGGAGAGAAAAACAACCTGCATGGTCATGCTGTTTAGCAAATTCCTATTAAAATATCTACATACAAATCTAGGCAACTGTAATTAAAGGTGAAATGTATAAATGTATAGAACTGTTATCTGTTTTTTTGAGTGGCCCGACTGGGTCAGATGTAATGAGACTGGCTCAACCAATGGAGAGAGTTTAGGGTAGGGCTTCAGTATCTGTTTGCTGAACAATGGAAGATGTGTGAAGTCTCTGAAACAGTCTTTATTTTTGCAGTTCTGTTTGGTGTCAGTAGTGGTGCAGAATTTACTTAATTCAGCTCTTAAATTACAACATGATTACCAATTATTATTAGTGAGTTGTAACAGTAACATGCAACATTCTTGTTTGAAAATTGCTCCACTTCACATACTATAATATGGATTATAAGGGATTAGCAAACATGTGAGGGAAGGAGCTGTCCTGAACCTATTTTTCTGGAGGTTTCTCTGTGTATGAAATATTTACAACAGGAATGACAGCAGAGAATACATCTCCAAACAGCGATTTAAGCGTTCTGCGGAGGCGTCAATCCACATACACCTCCTTATCATGTGACAGACAAATGCAGAAGGTCTGGGACATTTTATTTTACAGTTAAGCTTTCAGCAATGCAGCTGTTTGAGAGGGTACAGCAAGACTGTAGCTTAGGAACACTTCAGTTTGTACCTGGACTGGTATGTTAACCATTGCACCCATTAATGGCACCTGAGATTGATTCTGAAAAGGGAAAAATGGGCAATAAGGCAAGAGGAGCATATGAAAGCTTGTGTTCGCATTTAAGGCTTCTTTTGTGCCGTCATTACCCTCATATGGCTAATGCTGGCAATTGAAGTTTGAGAGTTCACAAAAGATCCATTTAGAGCAGATTATCAACCATTAGTGCTATACACATGCTGACTTTCACTGACACTATAGGCAAAATCAATAGACTTGTTTCAGTTAATGGGGTAAAATAAGTTTAAAGCCAATTATATAAGTTTATTTTCTATTTCAGGGAGCCAGAATTAGCTAACATACAATACACAACATGTACCTCCTTAAAACTGAAAAAAGAAAGGGTAGAAGGAGCTCCACTAACCTGAGTGCTTGCGTTGGGCTCAGGATCAGGCACGTAGGGATAATGAATGTAAAACATGTCATTCCGAACCATCTTCTTCCTCATTCTACAGGGTCCCTCGGTCATGTCCAACAGAAACTTGTCCAGGTGGGAGCCGATAGGAGGCCCCCAGAGGCCCCTTTCCCGAAGCAGCTCATATTCAATCCCTGCCCACTCATCCATCACATACTTCAGTGCATTCTGCTGCCTCTGTGAGAAAACAAATGCATATTTGTATCAAAAAATCTTTTTTGTAGAAGTCATACCACTACGATCAGAACTGGGAAAACATTTATTTAGTGACCCCTCCATTTAAAGCATTTCTCAAATTATTATTGTTCTGAAAGATCTATTTGACTTTTGTATATGCTTGAAATTGAAAGGTTACTACCTCTTGATGTTCCTTGTACTGCATTGCTACCAAGTCTCGGACCACAGCAATGTGCGTGAACATCCACTGAAAGGTTTCCTGTGGACATTCAAAACAATGTGAGGGCAAACTGCCTGTGCAAGTCCATAAGGTTAGCTGTGAAACCATTTCCATGTCTGCGTCAGTTCTTTTGTCAGTTACCTGTGCAGAAAGATTGTTCTTGTTCATTCCACTTTCCTTTTTGCTGCGACGGGAGCCAGTCAGTTTGGACAGACCAAAGTTACTGCTGACTCGAGACAGTTTGGACTGATTAGCTGGGGCAACGGTCTCGCCCCTGCTGATGCATTTCTTCTCATGGACTAGAAGGAAAACAGAGAAGGTTTAACACAGTAAGAGAAACGAGAGTATGGGGAAAACAGAAGCAGAGTGACAAAGACAGTCACAGGAAAGCTGCAAAAATTCAACTATGTGGGAGAATCTGAATGTGATGGAGTAATAATGTGAAAATTTGAGTGTGTCTGACTAGATGTTTTCCTCACCCAGGTGGTTCTGCCAGCTTTTAGCAGCAGGTTCCTCTAAAGCAGGTCGAGCAGTGGCAATGTCCACATGTCCTCGGTCATTGATGGGTAGAGACACTTTAAAAATGTCCTCCAGCATTTGCCGCTTACTGTGCATGAGTTCAGTCCACACGCGATTCACCGCCTTGAGCAGCAATTGACGACCTGACAAACACGCACACCAAACAAAAAGGACAGTGTTTGATATCAATAATGGTTTTTATGAGGGTTTGTGAAGTGCTTGAAGTATTAAAACTCTATGCTTTAATAAACCACACACTTTGTTTCCAAAAATGCCATTAAAAGAGAAAAAGAACAACCTTCGCTAACATCCTGGCTCTGGACATTGTCCGACTCGTTCTCAGAAGGAACCGCGACATGCCAGGTGGTCATTCTGGCCTCTGCCTCCAAACCAAAGCCCTCCACACTACTGTAAGAGAACATGAAAATGATGTTGGCACAGTGATACAGCACACGATTCTCATACATTTGAAGACACAAAGGCCTTTCGGCCAGTGCTTTATCAGTGCTGCATCATGTGAACATTCCCCAGTCAGTCAATAATATAAGTTTGAACGCTAGAACACAAACAGCAAGAATAATGAACTATGATTTCAGCACATCAGATGCTCCAAATCAAATCAGTTGAAGTTATTGATCTTCCTGCATCAGCAGAGCAGAGACTCAGAGTAGCAGCACTACACAGGAATGTAATTCTGCTCACTGTCTCTGAGCTGCTCTCATTTCTCAGTCTCTCTGAAGCCAAACTTCTGAGTCAGCCTGTATACAGAGCCATGACAACGTAAACCTCCCCCTCAAGTCTCTCACAGTGACTCACAACAGCAGAGGCGCACAATCACAAACAATCCTAAGAATAGGAATTATTCATTTTTCACTGCTCATACATAATCCCATCAACCCATCCCCATCTAGATTTTTGTATTTGTATTTTTTTACTGCTCATATAGTCTATGCATCTTATCTAAATGTACTTATTTCATAACTATCCATGTAAATTTATTTCACACTTCATATATGTCTACCTAGCTATCTAAATGTATTTAATTTATTTACCTATTTATTCATTTCACACCTCATATGTAATGTCTACCTACTTACCTTTAATCTAATAATTTTTTTTGAACCAGTCTCTTTGAATCAGAGTCTCTGCATGTCAAATGGAAAAAAGACTTACCTATCCATACCTCTAACATAATACTTCTGCAATAAAACCAAACATCTATAAGCTCTAAATTAAAATAAACCCTTGAATTCATGTAAAGTGCCTGAAAACATTACACGGCCTCTGTGTCTCTCTCACCTCCCCGTGTGCAGGTTGATCAAGCAGTGGGCCAGACAAGCAACAAACTCCTGGTCATGGTTGCCGGGTCCCAGCACGAGGTTTCGGTTTACTGTCAGCACACGCAGTGAATCCAGCAGGGTGACCTGTTGCGGGACCGTTTTGTGTGGTCGTGAGAGCTGGTAGAGGATTGTTCGGTTCAGACAATGGTAGATTGAGTCCAGAGACAAACCCTGTGATCGCCGTTTGGACTATTGTAGGACCAAAAAAAGAAAAAGGAGATTTGTTGAGAAATCACCAGTCACGTACGTCAAATAGGAATGCTACATAAGTCATAAGAAATAAGAAAGGGAGAGAGAAAGAATTGTACATCTAACAGAAAGTTGTAATATAATAAAAGGATAATATTATGTTTAATAATCCAAGTTATGACTTTACATCACATTGTGGGTCCTTGTGGTCTTTTTAAATGGTTAAATACATTTTTGCAATATTTAGTGAAACACTTACTGTGAAATTTTTTGAAATGTTTGTTCCGTTCTCATCTTAAAAACATAACTGTGGTTGCTGTGATTGCTTATTATCATTTGCTTTTAATTGCATTTTAATTTTTAACATTCTGTTTGCTTATATTTCCACTACTGTTCAAAAGCTTGGGGTAAGTATTTTTAATGTTCTTGAAAGAAGTATCTTATGCTTACCAAGGCTGCATTTATTTGATAAAAAAATATAGCAAAAACAGTAAAACTGTGAAATATTATTACAATTTCAAATAATAGATTTTGTCATTTAAATGTAATTTATTCCTGTGATGGTAAAGCTGAATTTTTGTCATTACTTCAGTCTTCAGTATCACATGATCCTTCAGAAATCATTCTAATATACTGATTTGGTGCTGAAACATTTTTATTATTATAAATGTTGAACAGTTGCGCTGCTTTTTGTGGAAACTCTAAAACAGTTTTTAGGGTTCTTTGATGAAAAGACAGCTTTAAATAATTTATTTGAAATATAAATATTTTGTAACATTATAAATGTCTTTATAGTCACTTTAGATCAATTTAATGTATGTAAATGTATATAACAGTAGCATAAATGTAAGACATCCACTAAAAGTACTCATTTGTAAGCAATGCTCATAATTAAAATGGCAAAGTAGACAATATATGGCCAACAAATTATATAAAATACTTGAAAAGTCACACACTCCACCAAAAATCATATGCGAGATGAAAGTTTACTGAGAAGAACAAGGCAAACGTTTTGGTCACATATAGACCATTTTCAATGCCAAGCTAACAAATAATTATATAGCAAGACAATTTCCTTAGTCTTTAGGGACACTATGACATTGTGTACAATTGGAGGTTAAGTGGGGAACCTCCTTAAGTGGGGAAAATCATCCTGGGAACGATCACAGGATAGAGCTCACCTGGGTGATCAGCTGAACTATGAATTCCACCACAAGCTTGGACTCTTTGTTGAACATGCCCTGCCACAGCTTATCCACCACACGCTGGGTGAAGTAGAAAACATTGTTGACCAGGATCTGGTAACTTCCTCCTGTCGTTATTGGCAATGATGCCTCCTCACCTGTTGGAGGACAGAGACACACACATGAAATATTTGCAATTTTTAGCTGATATTGTGTGAGTTTAAATATTTTGTTGGATGAACAATGAACTTTAAGGGACATCATGGAACTTCAGAAACACTGAGAACCACTAAAATATGGTCAGTCAAGACATGTCTCACCATGCCATGACAGTTTTTACATATATTGTGACTCTACATTGACACCAAAAACCACACAATTTGGATTAAAATGAGGGAGGGGTGGGGGGTAAATGACAGCATTTTCATTTTTGGCTAAAGCACTGTACCAAAGCATTTCCCTGAACTAAACCTGATGATTGGGATGCAACTAACCCAACAGAACATCTGCTGCCAGAAGCTGCTCCATCACACCGTCCAGGATGTAGGACTGAAACTCCTTCTGCTGGGTTCTGGTGGAGCGCTCTGGTGCGGCCTGAATACACAGAGCAAAGTTAGTGTTTCTGCCCAACAGATGGACACTCCCACAATAGCTTCTAATTAGCAGCATGCAAAGCACTGCAGGACGATAGAAAAGAAAGCTAGAACTACACGCGCTACAGAAATTCTGTAGCTTCAGGTAACATCACTGGCAACAAAATTAAATGTTCATTTCGAGTAGATTTCTGAAATGACCTCACCTCTAGCAGAAGATCAATGATGGGGGTCTGTTTGCTGGCAGGTGTCATGCACAGGTTGTCCATGATGAGGACCCTCATGAAGTCAAAGACGTACTTCTTGGCTGGGTGGTTGGTCAGGTAGGTTTTATTGCCTACATTACAGTATTCTGACTGGCTGCGGTTCATGCCTGTATCCGTCACAAAGGCTTTGAACTCTTCTGTGGGAGAGCTTGCTTCATCATCCAAATCACTCACCTGAGGAAAACAAGACATTTTTCATCTACACAAACAACTGTGACTTGAACATCAAAAGGACAAATTCTCAAAGGCCTGAGCACCCAAAAGCCAGTTACAATAACAAACAAAGAGAACCATAGCATACCATTTCAGAGTAGGGCCGTATATTGAAGGGGAAAACTGTAGCAGCAAGTGTACACAGGAAGTCCGGGCTGTGCCACATGGGTGCCAGATCTGGGATGTTGTGATAGAGGTAACGGAAAAACTGCATGAGAGTGATGGGATATTCTCTCAGCCAGGAACCCTCTTCCTCTGATTGCCAAGGCTGCAGGTTAGATAAAGAGAAATATCAAAAGCTATGTCAGCTTGTGCTGTGAGCTTATTTAAAGGGCCTGCGGTCACAAGAATAACCTGTATTTCTAGGTCTCTGCAGTAAAAACAATTCATCTTAACATAATACCATTTAAAAAAAAAAAATTCCACTTTGAGCACCAGTTTGTCACTAATTTGCCATTTCATTCAGAATTCTTCATCAGCTGATAGTATAAAAGCTTTGATAAACTACCAAATGACAACAATCCCCCCAATGCCAGCAGATGCTCCTGGGACACATATTTCTGAGGCATGGTGGCTTGGAGACTCACCAGGTTGAGCATGCTGCGCAGCATGGCCAAGAGCAGGAACGCTGCTTCAGTGCACATGTTGTGAATGGAGCCCACCACTGTAGCACTGGAGGCTGGGACGCCAAATATAAACGTCCAGATAGAGTCCAGGTCAAACTGTGTGAGGAGATGGGTACAACTCAATAATAATTAATTTATTATTATTATTATTAAATGTATATTATACAATTTATTAAACCGTATTAAGTTATTATGAAATCTAAATAAATCCTAATATTAACAAATTATTCAACAATAATTGTGTGGTTTAAAAAGTAAAAGAATGCCTTTTAATAATTTGCCATTTCATTCAGAATTCTTCATCAGCTGATAGTATAAAAGCTTTGATAAACTACCAAATGACAACAATCCCCCCAATGCCAGCAGATGCTCCTGGGACACATATTTCTGAGGCATGGTGGCTTGGAGACTCACCAGGTTGAGCATGCTGCGCAGCATGGCCAAGAGCAGGAACGCTGCTTCAGTGCACATGTTGTGAATGGAGCCCACCACTGTAGCACTGGAGGCTGGGACGCCAAATATAAATGTCCAGATAGAGTCCAGGTCAAACTGTGTGAGGAGATGGGTACAACTCAATAATAATTAATTTATTATTATTAAATGTATATTATACAATTTATTAAACCGTATTAAGTTATTATGAAATCTAATTAAATCCTAATATTAACAAATTATTCAACAATAATTGTGTGGTTTAAAAAGTAAAAGAATGCCTTTTAATGGTTTAAAAAGTAAAAGAGTGACACTTCAATGCTCTCACAGGAAACAGTCACAAGGGCAGATGGTAAACATTTATATAAAGCATGCATGAATGAATGGATGAACAGTATAGTTAACATGGAGCATGTCACCTTAAAAACTGTTGAAAACAAGTTTTGAGATCACATTGAAAATGTGGGATTTCAAATCCTATTTAAATTTGTAATCAAAGTTTTAGGATTTAACAACAAAAAAACAAAAGAAAGACAGAAAGAAAGAATATGATGTAAAATGGATTTATATTCTGCACTATTTCTAGGTCACTAATGATATAAGCAAATAAGTGAAACTGAGCATGTGAAGTATTTTCAATAGTGTCTCAGAGATGTGGAACATGATATGGATTGTGAGATCACACATACAAACAAAGACACAGTGAAGACATTCAAGTTTGATTAGTAGGAAAAAAAGGTTTGCATACTGACATGTACCTGCAGGCTGTCAGGCAGCTCTGTGATTGGTTGCTGGAGGAAAAGGGCCATGAGCATGAAGTAGATCTCTGGAACGTTGGTGTGTTTGGGCAGTAGAGTTTGCAACACAGGGAATCCTGGGAAATGGCAGGCATCTCGGTTGATTTCACGCACCGTTGACCTGCCCCCTACGCTGCGGCCCACATTAAAACCTGAAAGGAGGTACAAGCAAAAAATAAAAGCCCCACAAATCCTTTTACCATGCAAAATTATTATTATTATCATCATATTGTTATACTGTATAATTATAGTTCCTTTTTAACTTAAAATGCATGTTCACCCAGAACAGTGCCAATCTTATTAGTGAGCACAGAGTCTGTGTGGTCCAGCCAGCCTCCTCCCGACAGGCCCTCTTTAAACCGGCTCAGGATGGATTGGTTACTCATCAACACCACCAAGATTAAGAGCGCAGCCGTCACTGTGCTGGAGTGAATGTGTTCTTCCATAAACATCAGCAACCAATCAAAACCCAAAGTGCGCACAAGCTCTTCACAAGCCCTGCGGGAATTAGCAGAAAGAAAAATTTAGTGGTGGGGTGATTAATATAAAAGTAAATCTTACAAATTTGGTTTATAATGTTTTACGTTATGAGGCTTTATTTACAGACAATCAAATGGTGCACTTTGACATTTTTCATATACACAAAAATAAATAAATAAATAAAATACTGAGTGCACTGATAATAGATAAAAGCACTTGGGCTGCACATATCCAAAGTGTCTAGTTCCATCTGTATCCAATCCCAGATAACAGCCCTAAACCAGCAAGCTTAGGTAACAATGTTACAGATGCTGTAAAATGCAGCGCAGCTCTCGGAAGTCTAATAATCCACCCTTGATTTAATAAGGCTCACTGTGCATTAACAATGTTCTTCTCTTTGCAGCTGAAGAGCAGTTTGAGCAGGATATCCAGTAGTCTGTTCCGCAGAAGAATCAAGTTGGATGACAAGAGGCCTCCAAACTCATCATCAGCTCCTGAAAACACCCAGGAAGAAGAGTAAGACCACTGAAAGGAGAAATTATACTGCTAACCTTTTTGACTCATTTTAAGCTCCTGGTATCTTAAGATATCTCATAATTAGGCCTAGATGAAATCTGCAGATTTTCCAGTGCTGATATTAGCGGGTATCTACAGAAATGATTTACATGAAGCTTACGCTGCACTCTTATTGATAGCTGAAACCACCAAATTAGGCAAAATATTTCAGAAATGCACAAGGGGTGTCAGATTTTTATTAACCACATAGCGTTCCAATTCAGCAGGAATTCTGTGCAACTTTCTACAGAATTCTGCAGGTGTGGATTTCTTCATGGGATTCCCATGGATCTGATTCGTTAATAGGGCGATTTGAAGTGTTGTCGTGTTACAACAATATGGAGCTAAAATTCATCTTTGATACTTGGAAGCTTAAAAACATGACTCACCCCGGTCGATCTTCTCCTCATTGGTGTTCTCCATAATGACAAACTTCTCACAGACTGCAAATGTTGGCAATGTTGAAGAGATGAACTGCCCAAACCTTGAAGAACAAAAAAAAATCAAATCCATAAACAAATGGAAAAAAAAAAAGATTCAGAATTATAAATTATTTAGTGATATTATTTTGAGAATTAAAAATGTTATTTTTTTATGTGTAAATTGTACATAGTGTCCCTTACTAATTATTCAAATAAAAAAAAAATAATTAGTCGCCTCTACTTCTAAATAAACTATATTCTGCAGCAAAATAAGACAAATTTGAAAGAATCTGTCGCTTCTGATTTCAATCTATTTAAATGTGTTGTCTGAGCATACATTTAAAATGGGCATACAGCTCTATGTTTACCTTAGTAGGTCATATGAGTTGGGGAAGCCCTGCAGCAGGAGACTGAGGACGTTGCCGATGGCAGCGATGGTGGGCTGAGACAGAGACTGATCCCTCAGAGTCAGCAGCAGTTTGGGGATCAACTGAAACTCCCGCAACAGTTTGGCATTCTTAGCAGCTTCACTGAAAACAGAAACAATTACACACTGTGTTAGTAACAGCAGCTTAATATCTGCAGGTCTGACTCTGCACCTCTGGAGTTTAGGAACATTGTTCACTCTAAAGGCCCACTCAAACCAAGGACGATAACAATAAAGTTAATAACTTAAAGAGAATATCGGAGTCCATATTACAACTATAATGCCAATGACACAGATGAACAACATATTTTTTCAGATGTTGCATGATAAGAACGTTGACAACCAATCAGAATCCACCTGACTTTAAAGAGCTTGAACATTTGAAGCAGCAGCTGACATGCACTGTGTGTGCTTATATTAAACAGGACATTATTGTCTGTTTGTGGATGTTTATATAGTTTTCGTTATAGTTATCATTGTCTTTATGTGAACGGGCCTTAAGACATATAAGATCTCTCCTCTCTTTTCTTCTGTATGATGTACTTCATATGGAAGCAGACCTCAAACATCCATGTGAAGTAATTCATATACCATGTGATGCATATGTTGTTCTATAAGTGCTGCTGGGTAACCATCATAACGCTAATGCTTACTGTACACTATAAAACTTCTATAAGACTGAAAGTCCCATTACATCGCAGGAAGGCTTAAATCGACTGCCCTGAATAAAAAAGATTCAATAAAGAGTGTTAGAGTATGGATGGATTACCTGGATTCAGTCAGAAGTTCAATGAAGTGCTCGAAGAGAGAGAGGTGCAGCTCATAGGGAGCATGAAGCCAAACCTGAAAGTCCAGCAAATTATTATTTTTTAAAAGTATAATTAAACATTTGAATCATTACATCATGAAAATCAAACAAGTGTTTATATCTGTTCTCATGCCAGAAACTATTATAGTGGCTGTAGTTAAATTTTCAGCAAGGTCACTGATGATGTCAGTCTGAGGTATTTATATGTGAGCTTCGCACCTCAAAATCACACAGCAGGTCCTGAAAAGCTGTGGAGTTCGGGATGATTGAGGTCTCATGGCCACTATCAACAGTTCCGACAAGAGAGAAGGTCAAGTGAAGAATATGGCTGTTCAACAGAGGGCGCTTCTTCTTCAGCAGCATGGCCAACAGCTATAACAGAAGACATGGAGTTAAAGAAGATCTTTCAGGCAAATGATCTAAAGCTGACGGGGAAAAGCAACAACAGAAGGTCTATGTGAAAGAATGATCTGCTATATTTTCGTTAGTCTACTCATTTCAGCGATCAGTTCAATTTAAAACAGGCTGAAACCCAACACTCAGCCATCCATTTTCCTTACACAGTGACATTAGCTCCATGAAACATCGCATTCTCTCTACAGACCCTATTAAAGCAGCAGAGAAATTAAACAATGCACCATCTGTTATGTTCAAACCAGCACATCCCAGCATGCTCCGCCCTTACGGACCCCCACTTATCACATCAGTTGGCTGTCACCGGACACAACAGCCCAGTATCACTGTTATCATTTAATTTGCCACCTCATTGGCTCATAACATCCGACAGCTACAGCAGTAGAGAACAGAGGACATCCTCGGTTCAAAGTTCACGGAGTAATTGTTATTGCAGCCCACCTGGTATCCTTTGATACGTTCCATCTCCTTGCTAGCTAGCGGGTTGCTCTTCACAACACACACTAACGCTTTTACTGCAGCATAGAGACCCTCCACGTCTGACGCCATAGCAACCAGGCCCAGAATGGCAGCTGCTCCTCCGATGTACTGGAGGTTGGTGGCCACTGGTTTGGTCACGAAGGCGCGCACACCTACATGAAACAAGACTGCAGCTATAAACACATGAACACTGAGAGAAAGGACTGGTTTATTGGAAAAGCTGTACTGTGCCACTTCATTTTTTTTCATCCGGCAAAAAAACTTCACAGATCTCCATCGTCCTAATGAAAACAGCACACGCATTCACCCAGGTAACCGATGACTGCAGCTCCAATGGTCCTGGCCGACCCGTTGAGATGGCCCACTGCATTATGGACGAGCTTGACTGGTGTGGCACTTTCATGAGAGGAAACCCCCAGCTGAAAGGGAATGAAAACATCACTCTGAGCAACTTTCCCAAAATTATAATTCTTCTACACATTCTGCACCCCATGTATGTTTATTTATATGTAACATTTTGGTGAAATATTTATTACTCCTTTCAGCTATCAAAAAGTGTCCAACACAAGAATTCTGCAGATAATCCGCAAAAATTCCTGAAGATAATATGTGAAAAGTCTGCAAATTTCCACAAAAAGCTCTGCTGATTTTCACATTAGTTAAATGTCCTCATTCATACAGAATTTGAATACACATCATTCACAAAACTATACCCCTTGCCCACCCTTTTATTATACCCTTTCTACCCTAAAGAATTCTGCATATTTTTGAGATATTAATGTTAAGAAATTAGTATTTGATTCAGCAAGGTCACATTAAATTGATCAAAAGTGACAGCAAATGCATTTGTAATGTTACAAAAGACTTCAATCTTTAAACTTTCTATTCATCAGAGAATCAGTTTCCAAAAACATATTAAGCAACACGACCGTTTTCAACATTAATAATAATATGAAATGTTTTTTGAGGACCAAATCAAAATGGCTTAGTAGTCTATCGTCGGTTTGCCCACGAAACATGAGCGTTGTGACTTTACAGGCTAAATTAAATGAGAAATTATTTATAATAATTAAAAAATATATTGTGTGTTCACAAACAACAGCATTTTGAAGGTCTGCAGTAGACTTGTTTTTAATTCAAGCTCACTTAATCTGCATACAGAGGAACAAAAAGGTTGAAACGATCATCTGATTCACAAACATTCCACATCATTAAAACTGCTGTGCTGACATAAACTGCAAACAAAGACTGGAGTAATGGCTGCTGAAAATTCAGCTTTGACATCACAGGAAATGGAATAAATAACCTTTAAAATATTTCAAAATAGAAAACAGTTATTTTAAACTAATATTTGACAGCATTTCTGGTTTTACTGTATTTTTGACCAAATAAATACAGTATGTGAGCATAACAGACTTCTTTCAAAAACATAAAAACCGTCTGCTTATGGCCCTGATTACTGTATTTGGTGGTTGTTCAGTTTATTAAATATGACAACTTTACATTATTTTAGCAAGAGGAAAAGGGTGAGACTGCTTACCTGTTTGGCAATGGTTTTGCTGTCCAGTTTGTTGTAGACCTTTCGTATCTTGGCCACAGTGAGAGTAGATGCAGAATGAGCAAAGAGACTAAAGGAAACCTTCTCTTCAGGGACCAATGCAACAGGACATGGTGGCACAGTCTCAGTCTTTGAGTCTTTGCCTGGTGATATGAGAGAAAACCCAGTTTTAAAAGCCACAACTACAGGAGCAAATGCCTGCATTTTTCTATATAACACACGCACAAAACATTAAATCAGTAAAATAGCCATTAATTTACAATAAACATCAACTTCTTTTAGGTGTTATTCACCTCAGTGTGACACATCGGGTACTCACATGGTAGGTAAACAGCTTGGAAACTGCCTACATAATTGGGTCCCAGTTCATAGATGGCAGCCACACTGGCAGCAGGCAGCACCTCCTCCAGAAAGTGAGTGGGCCCCAGTCGCCAGACCAGAGCGGAGAGCTGGCGCTGGGCCGGTGGCGTACCGATGTAGCTGTACACCGTACTCACCACAGGTGGGTTTGCGGATGCAGAGCCTCCGGGAGCATTGTGAACATAGTGCAGCTACAAAGACAACCACAATGAGAAACAAAAGAGGCGAGTGTGACTTTATTGGTTTGCAGGCCAATAAGGACTTCTATTTCAAATATATATTGTTTAACAGTAGCCTTGGGAACTGGTGTTTTAGCTGCTAATGAAGTAAGCGGAAGACCACATCACATCAGATTTCAGAACTGATGCCAGTTTTGAGCTATGCTAAAGTTTGAAATATAAAATTTAAATCCTTCAAATGGGGCAGGAAAATCTGACCTTTGTGCAGAAAAAAAATACTAACGGCACAGTGTTTCCCAGTACTTTAGTCGAAACAAAATAAAGGTGTCTACATCAGGAGCTGGGCCACACCTTGACCGTGCTGACCATCTGGCCATCGATGTAGAGAGTCGCCATGCTGTTCTTCAGCATTCCCTTGCTCATAACTAACACCAGGTGGTGCCACTGTCCCTCAGTGATGAGGTCAGCGCAGCGGAAGCGAGCACAGCAGGGAAGAATCTCATAGAAGGAGGACTCCTCACTGAAGTCATCCACTGCTAAGGGAAAGAGGAAATGATGTCACGTCACTAACCACAGACAAAGGAACTTTTCCTCTGCATTTCAGAAGGAACGGCCTCTTAAATCCTACATTAAAATGGCTTAGTAGTCTATCGTCGGTTTGCCCACGAAACATGAGCGTTGTGACTTTACAGGCTAAATTAAATGAGAAATTATTTATAATAATTAAAAAAAATATTGTGTGTTCACAAACAACAGCATTTTGAAGGTCTGCAGTAGACTTGTTTTTAATTCAAGCTCACTTAATCTGTATACAGAGGAACAAAAAGGTTGAAACGATCATCTGATTCACAAACATTCCACATCATTAAAACTGCTGTGCTGACATAAACTGCAAACAAAGATGTAGAACAGGAAGTTGTAGAAACACTTGCCATAGGTCTGAAGCAGCTCTTCCTTAGTGGACACAATGAGAGACCGGTCTTTAGCAGAGAGCACGATGGCCAGGCACACGTAGTGCTGTTCAGAGGAGGTGGCCCTTCGCACCACCGTGAGCAGACGCACAGGGGGGCTTTGGGGTGGTGTGCTGAAACGCTCAACGCAAAACCACGTTGAGTAACTCAGGCCAGATGGGGGTGGAAAGAAACGCTCACCTGGAGAGATGAAAATGAGGATTATTTAATATTAGGAGTTACTTTCTATTTGGCATCATTTGGATTTAGAATGACATACCTGTTTTGCACTTTTTTGTTTGTTTGTTTGTTTTTTAGTACAAAAGTTTGGGGTTGGTAAAGTTTTTTTTAATGTTTTTGTAGGAAGTATATTTCTATTTTAATATATTTTCAAACACAATTTATTCGTGCGATGACAAAGCTGAATTTTCAGCAGCCATTACTCCAGTCTTAGAGGTCAACCGATTGATTGGTTTTGCCAATTAATCGGCACCGATAGTTGATTGCTGGAACTATCGCCAAAAATCCAAACCCATAGTTTTTCCGGGTTGCATCCGTTGCTAGAGCGGCTGAGAAGCTCCGTTGTCATTATATAGCACGAGAGCAAGAGCGGCCTCTAGAGGCGAATCACTGACACCACGTGCTGTTTGTTTTGACACGTGACACTGCACGCTGCACAGAGCGGGACACTTCATATGTGGATTTAAAACAGACAACGAAATCGTGTGTATACAGTATACTACAGTACATGTTTTCATATTATTATAAAGTAATTAATTTGATGACTAGATGCTGCATTAGTAGTGAAAGGACAGAAGTATGTTTGCCATCAAGGCTGAGAGGATGCGAACATTAGTACTACCACCTCAAGTGGTTAAAACAGTGTGACCAAAACACACTCAAGTCCGAACCAAATGTTTGATGTCACGATTGTTACCATCTATTTGCATCAGTTTATATCCAATTGGTAATTTTATTTGTTATCCATCGAAGTTGCATATTTAAAGCCTTTACTCCAGTCTTAGAGGTCAACCGATTGATTGGTTTTGCCAATTAATCGGCACCGATAGTTGATTGCTGGAACTATCGGCAAAAATCCAAACCCATAGTTTTTCCGGGTTGCATCCGTTGCTAGAGCGGCTGAGAAGCTCCGTTGTCATTATATAGCACGAGAGCGAGAGCGGCCTCTAGAGGCGAATCACTGACACCACGTGCTGTTTGTTTTGACACGTGACACTGCACGCTGCACAGAGCGGGACACTTCATATGTGGATTTAAAACAGACAACGAAACCGTGTGTATACAGTATACTACAGTACATGTTTTCATATTATTATAAAGTAATTAATTTGATGACTAGATTATGCATTAGTAGTGAAAGGACAGAAGTATGCTTGCCATCAATGCTGAGAGGATGCGAACATTAGTACTACCACCTCAAGTGGTTAAAACAGTGTGACCAAAACACACTCAAGTCCGAACCAAATGTTTGATGTCACGATTGTTACCATCTATTTGCATTAGTTTATATCCAATTGGTAATTTTATTTGTTATCCATCGAAGTTGCATATTTATGCTAGTGACTTGAGAAAGCACATTGATATGTTCATTCAGCCGACAGAAATCCTGTCGCACCAAAGAGACCATGTAGCCATGTAGTTTTCCATTAAATGACATTATATTTATCCCAGATTGTTGTTCGTATGTAAAATAACTTCACGCACGGCTGGAAGACAGTGTATTGTGCATTTTTCAGCAAAATGTCTGTCTTTCTGTGGCTGTAATAAAATCTGTATCTGTAAGCTTCATATAGAGAGCTACTGTACAGACCGCGCTTTCTCTTTCCAGTTTGCTCCGAACTTCAAACTCATCGACGCCACTTTGTTCATTCCTGTAGTGAACCTTTGCCTGTTTGGTGATTAAATAAACTGTTCAGGACAGCTGCTTGAAATGAACACGATGCGTCTGGTGTGTGTGATACCTGCGAGTTTTAGATGCGATGCGATGCGGTGCCGCGCTTTTGTCAGGTGAGCTTTTTGTTGTTTTGATTGGATGATCATCAAGTGTTCCAAAATAAACACAAATAAAGTGTGAGAGTCCATACAATACATATGTATGTAATTTCAGTGCTATGGCCTTTGTGTAGATGTTTAAACATGGCCATTTTTAAGCATGACTGTTCGGATTTGTATGAAATAATATTTTACAATTTGCAAGATTCCATTTGTAACATTAACTGGTTAATATAAGCTGTAGAAGTATTGTTCCTTGTTAGAGTGTGTTAATTTCAATACTAATACATTTTTACATTTTAAAGTTAACATTAGTAAATGAACTAACATCAATTCTATCTATCAATCAATCTATAATTAATATTTTTTATTCTATTTAAAAAGCATGGTTCAGTACTTTTTTTTGTTCTAGTTCAGCACTATTTAGTTTTCATTCAGTATCCATTTTAAATTCGGTTGATTAATCGGTTATTGGCCAGTGTGGTCTATCGTTATATCGTTATCGGTAAAATCTACTATCAGTCGACCTCTAGTCTTCAGTGTCACATGATCCTTCACAAATCATTCTAATATGCTGATATGCTGCTCAAGAAACATTTCTTCTTATTTTCAACGTTGAAAATGGTTGTGCTGATTAATATATATTTTTTAATATTAATCAGCATTTTAAGGTATTAATCAGGTATTATATATATTACATTACATATTATTGTTTATATATGTACAAATATTTTTTAACAGCATTTGAGATGGAAATCTTATCTATATAAATGCATTATAAATTAAAATTATTTTACTGTCACTTTTGATCAATTTTATGCGTCTTTGCAGAAAAAAAGTATGAATAATAACAATCTCACTGACCCTAAACTTTTTAACAGCAGTGTATAAGCATAACAATTCAACAGATCTTAATATTTGTCTTGTATGTATTTTTTAAGCATTTATTTTCGAGTTCAATTTTTTTTATATCCTCATTTAATGTGATTTGGAGAACATCATTACTAAATAAATCTCCTTGGACTTCACATAATGATCTATTACATCAAGTGCGCATTCTTGAAAATTTAGCCTAAGCTACTTAGATACAACAAATCCACTTTGGCTTGTACCCTAAACCCAAGAAACCCCTGGAAGAGAGACAGCAACAATAAACTAGACTGCAGGGGATCTGAATGAAACTCTCTGAGCAAGAAATTATGTCGTCATTGACAAAAATAGGTCAGCGAATATGATGCAGGAGTCTATCTATAAATACTGAACTCATCCATTTGAGAGAGAGAGAGAGAGAGAGAGAGAGAAGAGACAAGGGAGAGGAAATGGGGAAGATGAAAGAGAGAGAGAGAGAGAGTAAAATGAAGAAAAACAGGAAGGGAGAAAGATGGCGAGCAAGCGAGCCCTGAATCACCTCATTAATACTACATTGGCACTTGTACGCCCACTCAGGGCTGCTGTGAGCCAGTGGTGCTCCAACAGGAGCAAAGGCACACAAACAATTTCTGTCAAGCTCTGTCAAGTTTCGGTTTACTTCCTCTTTTCTCTAGACTCCACCGTCTTTGCAAAAATTCAGTCACAGTGCTGTGCTCCTGTTCCCTTTACCTCTCGCCTGTCATGAGCCAAGGTGCTTCTGAAATTCTGTCATGCCCTTACCATCCCATGTTTGTAAACTCAAACTCACTCAAAAACTATAATCTGTTAAAACAATAAAAACAATATTTTATGTTATTACATAGCTTTTTGTAACACTTGATTCTGATTGTTCAATCACATAACAACGGTTTTGAACCGTATATTTCACCATTGTCCATGGCAACATACCGCTCTATTTTTTGTCTCTTTTTATCCCTTTTTATATCCTCTGAGATCTCAATCACCAAGACAAGATTTATTGTGTGATAATGACTTGCTTGCTGTACATTATAGATGAATAACTGCAGCATAATTCATCAATTTAATGTACTTTCATGCACTTCAATGTACTTTATGTTAATAAAGATTTACACAAAGTGGAAAGCTGCTGGCTGCTGTTATGCAAATCGCGGGGACTGGGTTAGAGTGTGTTTGTGATCACATACCGTTTCCCATGCCGCTGACCACCGCCCCGTCACTGACTCCAGATGTGTTGGCATTACTGAATGGTGCGTTGTGAGGGGCCAAACTGGGCAAAAACAAACATCTGGAGAGAGAAAACGGAAATGAAAAATGAATTTCAATTTATTAGAAATCCCAGCGGGCCAGACATTTCACACATTTTATTCTTGTCTCTCAGTAACAAACAGTCATAAAAAGTGGGAATATTTCACACTGGCGGCTTAAAGAGGAGATGTGGATGTTTATTTGTGGGTGTCACGCCTTACGCAACACTGACAGAGTGTGCTCACCATAACGGGACTGAATTACATTGTGTATAAAACATTACAAATGTCCACTGATGGAACTTATTCAAACACCAGATATTACTCAATGTCAGAAAAGCAAATAATGAGAATGGGTGAAACCCAATGCAAGATTTCTGTCAATCCATACATCATTAAACATTCTGCCATTCATCAAATAAACAGAAAACCATCCCAGTGTTACTCAAAACAGCTAAACGAGTCTCTATGGAGGCTAATTAACCCTGACAAAGGAAGCCTCGTATGTCATTTTAATATTAAAAAAGCTGTGGCAATTAAAAAAAAAAAACACATCACACGAACAATACAAGCATCCACACAAAAACAGTGAAACATCAACATCTCCCACCAGCCAAGGAAGTCTGTGAAAAAGGGTTCAATTTGGGGACAAATCTGCTCACAAAAGTGAGCTACATCTGACAAAACCTCCCGTTGGAGAACATTTGGAGAAGTCCTTTTTTGGAAAATTAATTCGGTCAAAATAATCAAAATATATAACAAATATTTTTATAATATTCATTATTTAATTAATATAAATATATAAATATATTATTTGATTTTTTTAAATATAATTAGCATATATATAATTATATATTATTGTATATTAATAATACATTTTTTTTAAATCTAAAGATAAAAACAATAGAAGTCTATGTATATGTGTGTGGGGGTTAATGCCCACCTCCTCCCTGTGTGCTCCCTTATAACCTAAAAAGCTTTAAGCCCAGCTGTGGCAGCACCATTAGGCTGGTCTGCACGCCCCAATATGGAACGTGTTTACATGAATTTTTCATGAAGGCAGATGGGGAGTGCGCTGTGTGTGTGTGTGTTTTGTCAGCATTCGCAAGATGAAAATGTGGGCCAGCACAAGTGAATTTTACATCTTCAATTATTCTAAGCTGCATGTTCTATTCAGATGTAGGAGGAAGTATTCAAAGACAGAGGAGGATTCTGGCTAAGACATATAAAAGATACATCATTTGGATCGTCTGTGTAGTTGATGCAGGTTTACTGGGAATTTGTGGCATTTACGTCTGTAGAACTGCTGCATAATTGTTCAAGCAATAGAAAGGCGACTGGGAGACTAACAAAATTCAATCTGTGCACAACTAATATTACTTGAAGCATTGTTATGTGTGCTGGGCGCAAAAACTGAACCGTTGACCCATTTCATAGACATAAATCTCCCATTTAAGCAGCTAATAATTTGGAAACAAGACAAATGATGATCACTGTGCTTTCATAATTAATGAAAAAGATGAAATATTAAAGATCTGTTATTTTCAGTTTAGCACGTACCCTGATGGGATTATGTTAAACAGAAACAGATGGAGACTCAGTGTGGATTCGTTGTTGCGTTTTGAACTGCAATACATTTGGAGATGTAAGCGCATTTCAAGTCTGTGTTTCTGTGAGCTTTAAACTGGGTCAGGCTTTTAAAAGCACAACACCAAATACATTTTTGATTGACGCATATATCTGGTAAACACATTCTAAACTGAAGCCAATAAATCTCTGATGCCTAAACAGATGTCTGCTTACAAACAGTGACTGTGCAAACAAATCTTGATCGTCAAAAGGTATAGGCTAGACTAGCGCTGTCAGTCTTACCCGAATCCCTCTAATGACGTGTCAAACTCCACGAAGGCGGGCGTGACAGAGGATCCATGGAGACGGATGTCATGGGGCGTCGTCATGGAGACCAGGCACTTGACTCGGGTGAGGGGCACAGTGCTGCCCTCAGCCGATCGCACCAGACTTCGACTGATCCGGTACTGGCTGTTGTCCTCATTAATTGTGAACACGCTATCCGGCCCAAAACCCTCCATGGACAAAGTCATGCTGTCTGGATGTGGAAAAAGACGAATGTACAGTCAGGCTGGTCCCATAAACTCTACTGCTCTCTTAGTATTACACTATTAAGTCAAGAAATAATTAACAGCTATTACTGTTAGCATAAGAGAACTTTTACTTCACTTTAATTGCAATATTAGGCACTTTCCAGGAATATTTGATAAACTATTATCTAACAATAATACCATTTATGTATAAATGTGATTCATTTTGTCCATTTAATTTTTATTTAACATTATAATGAGATCGTTCTATTTTATTATAGTTTATTTTATATATTTATTTAAATTCGCAAAAAACATACATGCTAAAGGTATAAATAGCATGTGGGCAGGGGCGGATTTAGTGAATTGGGGGCCCCAGGCAAAATATAGGAACGGGGCCCTATACATTTGCACACATTTTCCTAGATCAACCTTGAGGTTCCATTTTGTTGTTTTCAGCGTAAGCCTGTGTACAAAGGCTGTCTAATTCTAAACTTTAAAATACATTTATTTTAACTACAAATTTAAATAAAACTGAAAAAATAATTAAAAAGGCATTTATACATTTACACACCTAACATATATATATCAAGAGCATGCTCACAGATGAGAACAAAACAGTGTTGTATGAAGTGTACTCACAATATCAACAAAACGTTGTGCTTTTATAAAATAAAGAAAACAAACGCTTTCTGCCGTCTCGGTCTTGAACAGGAGCGCTTCACAATGATGAACCTAAACTCAGACATGATCAAAATATATAGAAAGCTTTAAATTACTACTTTAAAACGAAATAATTCAAATCGAAAATAGACTCCTAATAAAATTAACTCTTTCATTATGTAATCCGTGCATTTCTCTCTAAAGCCACGTCCAATTAAGAGATGGCGAGTAATTTTTTCATCACTATAATTGATGGAAGGCCTGATTATAATTAGCGTTTTATTTTATAATTCCGTACAGTTAAAAAATAAAACACTAATTATAATGGCATATATGTAAAACTTTGTCCTATAATTGTATAGCTGCTTTTTTCTGATTTTTATGTTGCTCTGTTCTGAATACCTTAAAATTGAAAGAATTTGCTGCAACGCAATTTTGTATGATATGTTAATTTTTTATATTTTTATCCATGCAGCAAATACTTTAAAAAACCGCTTTAAAATTACTTTATTGCATTCCAGACGCTTTTAAAGTACTTTTCACTATAAATTTTACGGGTAGCTTGAATGTAAAAATTGTCATGAATTCGTTGTATTCCCATTTGTAAAATAGCCAACAAATTCATTGTTGTAGGCTAACCTGATCTCATGAAAGTGCATATAGCACGATTTTCTGCTTCTATTTGGCGTAATATTCTATGCAGAAATTGACTTCGGCATGCAAAAGACTGATAAATTCATAATTAACAGCATGGGTTCAGTCGACAGAAATACGCAACACAGGCCTATAATAACTGCTGAAATGTCTGCGGGGCAAATCTGAGGTCAGTCTGAGCGCTCATGGTACTCGCAGTGCGTACAGCCGTACACTTGCAGGCGCCACAGACTCGGACGGTTGACGTGGTAATAAACATCGTAAACAGCAACCGTTGGCGTGTCCGTGCTTAATGCGCATATCCTATATGAAAAGCATTTTAGGGGGCCCTTAGCTTTTGGGGGCCCAAGGCGGTCGCCTACCTTTGCCTAATGGGTAAGTCCGCCCCTG